TCCTGGGAGGGGGTTTGCCTGCCAGCCAGTGGGCTGAATGCAAGTCCTCTCTGCAGGAGGTTGGCAGATTTCAGGACCAGGGACTGGGCCACAGTCACCTCGTTGTCCTCGTGACCTGTGGCTGTTGATGTGAATGACCCCCAAATCCATTCACCCCTTTGCTGTAGGCAATGCGTGACACACGGCAGATACTTCATAAGTTGACTGTGGGAGAAAGAATCTTGGGGAGCCCCATGGTAAAGGGGACCTGAAATCAGAGTTGAGTGACCGCTAAGGCTAGAGGCCTCTGAGACCTTGACCGTGCACAATGCCCGGACCAGCTAGGTCTTTTCCTCCCTCTCTATTTAAACAGAGCTGCTGTTGAGGGCGGCTTCAAGCACAGAGCCTTCTTCAGCCCTAGAGGGACCCCAGGTGGCTTCCTGAGCAGTGTCCTCTGGACGTCTAAGACTCGGAGGGCCCTGGCCGGACTGGGTGGAGGTTGATTTTGTTCTGGAGCCCTGGCTCAGACACTGGAGTGTGATGCTTGGGTCACACATCCTCCGAGGAGGGCAGTCACAACACTGGAGGGGTGAGGACACATCCTCGGGCTTCATTGTCTCCCTGTCCTAAGCTTCTCTCCCTGTGTCCGCTGGCGCCTCCAAGGTCCTCAGAGGAGGATGATTCTGGCTTCTCTCCCAGGCCTGCCCTCACCTCCTCTCTTTCCCTTGGGGTCTCTCCTGCCACAGCAACTACAGGTGCCTTCCAAATCCGCGTATCAGCACAGCATCTCTCCAGAGGCCTGGGATGACATTTCCTTGTCTTTTTCAATATTACTATCTTTTGCTATTTACGAAAGTGGTCCATGTTAAGGTCACACACTTTAGAAAATATCAACAAGCACAAGACAGAAAAGAATGAACTATTCACAGCCCAACTCCCTGTAACAATCACCAGAATTCTGGCACCTTCCCAAGGTGTGTCCCCGCTTCAGACACACGCCTGAGTGGGTTCAAATTTGAAAAATGTGACCCCACTGTCGGTCCTTCTCCCTCTTATCTTTCCCAGCCAGCAATGTGTCGTGCTCTTATCCTTGTGCTGCTAAATGCTCTTTTCATAACATTTGTAATGGCTGCATGGCCTTCCGTTGTATGGATACCGCTAGTTTATTTCATCAGTCTTGAGTGGACCATCTGAGTTGACAACTATTTTTTGTCATTATGAGCAACGTTGCCATAAAATTCATATAGAGACATGTTTATGATTATCCATGATTCTCGCCATAGGATAAGCTCAAAAAAACTTTAATTGCTGGGTTAGTGGATTTGTGCTCTTTGATACTTTTAATACATTTTGCCAAACTGCCTTTCCAAAACTCTTCATCTATTTACGTTCCCGCTAGAAGTGTCTGAAAGTACTTATTTTTTTTTTTTTGCAACTCTTACAAATGCAGAATTGAGTAGTTTGGGGGGGAAGGAGAGCTTATCTGGTATTTCATGGTTTTAATTTAATTTATTTCCAGGGAAAATAAAATTTAATAAACCTCCAGGGAGGTTGAACATGCTTGCTGCACATTCATTTTCCATTGGCCTTTATTCTAATGTGAATAGATGATCAGACTCTTTGCCCAGCGTTGCGCTGGGGGTGTTCATCTTTTTCTCATTGGTGTGCAAGTGCTCCCTCTGTGTTAAGGGTATTAAACTTTGTCTGCCATGTTTGTTGGAATGTACTTCTTGGCTTACCATTTGCCTTTCAATTTTGTTTATGATACTTACTGGCTGAAACTGCGCTAATATCTGCCTGCTAGACGTCTTTTCTTATATGACTCAGTGGCATTTCAAACTTCGCAGATCCACATTGAAATTCATTATTTCCCCCACCCCAACCTGCTCTTCCCAGTGACTCGCTTATTTTTGTTAATGTCACCGCCATTTCCCTCGTCACCCAGGCTTGAAATGTTGAAGTCATCTTTGATTACAGCTCCTGTCGCTTCCCCTTCATTCTGTCAGTTGCCAATGCCCATAGCTTCTATTTCTGCCATTTCTCTGGCAGGAGCCCCTCTGACACCCAGCTTGGGCACGGTGCTCATCATTTCTTGGCTGGACTTTGAAAATAGCCTCGCAAGTCCGTGCCTCTCCTCCCTCTCCTCCGCTCCCCACTCCGCGCCTCCAGTGCGACGCTGCCAGCCACCATCCTCCTAGCCCAGAGCTCGACACAGAATCCCTGGTTCCAAACCCGCCCCAGCGCCCTACTGTCTTCCGTATTTAATGACAACCACTAGCGTGGCCGTAATTTTGTCTCAGCTGTGTCTCCCACCGTCTCAGCCGAGCTGTGCCCAAATAATCTGGCTGCTTTCCTGCCTCTTGATCTTGTTACTTCAGCCGATCCTTCCTCCCAGAATTCCCTGCCACCCTCTCTACCTGCCAAAACTTGTTCAGAAAGTTCCCATCTTACCGTCCCAGCCCCAGAATGACCCACAACCGGCTATTCTGGGCTTCCTTACTCGTTGAAGTGAATCCTCTCTCCTTTTAACCCCCCAGTTTGCTGAAACTTCTCTTGTAGAACAAACCTTATTGCAGCATTGAGCCGTTAAGGGTCTTAGGGTCTAGAAAGCAGAGTCCGTGGAGGGTACAGCTCCCACACACCTCTGTTTCTTTCATGGGACCTGCACGGCGCCTTGCTGTCATAGGTGTGTAGGAGGTAATTGTGGAATTAAAAACAGCACCCCACATGGCCGAATTTCCACCCACTCGTGTCCTCCTGGAAGGGGGCACGCCCATCAGCCAGGGGGTAGAATGCAAGTCACCTCTGCAGGAGGCTGAGCTGGATGGCAGCCTTCAGGACCAGGGAAAGGGCCACAGTCACGTTGTCCTCATGACCTGTGGCTACTGGCGGGCTTCCAAATGCATTCATCCCTTTGCTGCGGGCAATGCGTGACACATGGCAGATGCTTTGTAAGTTGGCTGTTGGGGGAAGAATTTTGGGGAGCCCCGTGGAAAGGAGGACCTAGAATCCGAGTTGAATGACAGCCAGGGGGTGCTGGCGGCCCCTGTGACCTTGACCACGCACAATACCCGAACCAGCTAAGACTTTTTCTCGCCTTAATATATTTAAATGGAGTTGATATTGGGGTCAGCTTCCTGCACAGAGCCTTCTTCAGCCTTAGAGGTGATTCTGCAGCCTGCATGGGAGCGTGCAATTGACACAGTCTATTTTTAGCCTCACAGAGACCGTGACCAACATCCCAAGCTGAGAGTGGGCACACCTGCTGCATTCTAATGAGGCAGCCCTGTAGCCTCAGCCAGCCAGCCCGGGATCTCACCGACCTGAAATCTGATGTTGCCAAACTAGGAAGTCTGCTTATTTCCCTGGGGTGGTAGCCTAGATACGCTGGGAACATGGGACCATCACACTCCCCCCAGCTTGCTCCCCTCCAGCCCTGGACGCAAGACAGTCTCGGCGCTGTGCCTGCAGCACGGTGGGAGGATGGAATCACTCGGATCTCTTGGTCTTGCTCTAGCCTAGGAGCCCTGTTTCCCTTGCTGGGAAGGAGGGAGTAAGTCCGAGCTGACCCAGCTCACAGATGAGAAAACTGAGACATAGAACAAGAACATGAGTTATAGAATAATGATCATGATGGGATGATATTGATAATGATATTATTTTTATTAGTAATGATATTATTATTAATGATATCAATAATAATGATAGGATGATAATAATAATGCCCTTACGATATGCTAGACCGTTCTAAATTCTTTCCCTATGTTAGCTCATTCAAACTTCTTGAAAGTTCTTCTAAGATAGGTTTCATTATGATTTGTGTTGTATAAAGGAGTAAACCGAGGCACAGTGTTGCCAAATGGTTTCCCAAGGTCACACAGCCAATAAGCAGCAGACTCTTAATCAGTCTGCCATCTGCCTTTCAGCATCTATTTTTAATTTTACAAGAACCACGAGCCCTGATTCCCAGCCCCGGAGGACTAGCTACTAGATAATGTAATACTCCTTTGATACTTAAGATTCTGCCCTGCTTTGAGGGCTCTCCTGTGCTTTGCTCAACTGGTCTCCTGCCTGCAGGCAGAGGAGGTGTCCCGGCATAGCTGTGCTTCTGCCACGATGTGGACACTTTTGGGGTCCCCACCTGTGTCTCCCCCTCCCCTTAACCCGTGCAGGGAGCGGACGGTGCCGGGCAACCGCAGTGAGTGTAGAACTGGGCTGATGTCAGGACTGAGGCACCCGGAAAGATCAACGGCCCGTCCTGTGGAGGTGGGAGGCCAGCCATCAGGGTGGGTCCCACAGTGCTGAAGGTCAGGGGGAAGCTGCCACTCAGCAACCACGGGGAGAAAGACCTCAGGGAGCAGCACTGGAACCCAGGACACCTGCTTTTTAGGGCTGAGTCCTGTTTTAGCTTGTTCTACCTGTTGGGTGGGGAGAAGCCCACCAGCTTTACTTCTCGAAGGAGGCGGGTGGGACTGACTGAGTTTAGTTTGACACACGCTGTGCACCTAGCCCTTTCTTAAGTGCTTAAAAAATACTAACTCTTTTAATCCGCAGGAAACTCGAGGAAGTAGGGACTGCTTTCTTTCCATTTTAGAGGTGGGGAAACTGAGACACTGAGCCGTTCATACCTTTGCCCGGGGTCGGATAGCTAGTAAGTGGCTGAGCTGGTTTGCTTCAAGGCTGGCTCTGGAGTCTAGACTCTTGGTCCCACGCTGTGCTTATCTCCCTTCTTGGATGTTTCCTATTGACCTCCAAAGGAGGATTTTATTGTCCTTGTTTGACAGATAAGGACACTGAGGCCTAGATTGGCTCAGGCCACCCGGCTAGTAAGAGCTGGGTTAAATCCAGTCTGGCTCTCCACTAATCACAGACACCAGCCTGACCGCCAGGAAGCTTGAAGGGCTCACTGCCTTTCAGGCCGGACAGCTGCAGCTGCCTGGAGCCAGGTTCGGGAGCAAACTCTCCGTGGTGGGACCTTGTCACCTCCTCTGCTGACACCAGCCCCCTTCTCCTTCCCCAGGTGAGCAGCCCCCCCTCCCAGCCCCCTCAGCCCGTCGTCCCACCCAAGCCTGTGCAATGCGTCCATCACGTGTCCACTCAACCCAGCTGCCCGGGACGGGGCAAGATGTCGAAGCTGCTGAACCCAGAGGAGATGACCTCGAGAGACTACTATTTCGACTCCTACGCCCACTTTGGAATCCACGAGGTAAGGCGCCCTGAGCCGGTGACCAAATGGCTCGAGGTTGGCCCTGCTGTGTGGTCGTCTTCAGAGGCGGCACGGCGTGTCCAACTCCTGACCACTCTAAAGTGAGTTCTGCAGCACCCCTGAGTCTCCTGATCCATTCTCCAACCTTCCAGGAGGCCGGGCCAGCTCTGGAGCGGGGAGCAGGTGAAAGTGTGTGTGTCTGTGTGTCCCACAGCCAGAGAGAAAGCAAGGGGTGCTTCAAATGTAATCTGTTTTACATTTCAGCACCCGTGTCTCTCCCTGACCATAGAGAGACTGGAGATGGGGGGTGGGGGATGGCGTTGACCCTTGTACCACGGAGCTCAGTACGTACAACCGGTGTCCTGGGGCTACCAGGACCTTCCAGAGGTCACGATGTCCATTCTTTAGACCAATGAGCGTCCTAGGGGAAGAGCTGAAGGAAGCGTCTTTGGGAACCTGGCCCAGGTCTGACAGCCTGATGGATTCACAGAAAACTCTAATGTCTAAGTACCTGTCTTACACTACAACACGGGAGACTCATGCTAGCCTTGGGGCAGACCACAGCCTCCTAACAAAGAGGCTTCCTGTTGATAGTGAGGGCATAATGGTACTCTCCTTGCATATCCCCCATTATTATCTTCAGAACTCTCTCACTCCACCCCAAGTAAATAAACAACCAGCATTTCCAAGTATTTGTTCAGTGCCGGACTCCATTTTAGACACATTAAATGCATCCTTTCACTTAATCCTCATCAGAACCCTGTGAAGAAAATATTTCCACGATCCCTTTCTAGGGTAGAGAAAATATTGAGGAAGGAGCAAAAGTTGTCTTGCTATGGAGATGCTTTTCCAAACAAGCCTGGACACTTCCAGTTAGATGCTGCTGTCAACTCTTCTTATATTGGAATGATGATACTGCGGTTGCTAAAGGGTGTTTAATAATAATAGCCGGCTTTTCTATTTTTATTTTTTAGTGCCTACTGCACGCTGGTACTGTGCCAAGTATTTTATATTATGGGCCCGTTTACTCCTCGGGTCAGCCCCGTGAGGTTGGCATGGGAGTGTGTCCCCGTTTCACAGATGGTCTAGGCCCTTAAGAATCAGTTCAACCCTCATTTATCTTTGCTATTTTCTTTGCAAAAGGCCGTGAGCTAGCAGATGGCAGATCCGGAAGTTAAGCCTTTGCCTTTTGGCTTCCAGGGTTTTGTTTCCAGCCACCATGCCACATAACCTTTAAAACAAGTTTTCTTTCTTTCTTTCTGGAAACTTTAAGAATCCTATTGACTTATTTGTTTCTGCGGGTTCCTTGGCAGCCTTGCATGGAGGTAGAGGGTGAAGGGGTCCCCTCAGCTCCTTCCAGACTCAGGGGTCCAGCCTCATCTAATCCAGGGAGGCTCACGGTTTGGTTCCCTGAGAACTGGTCTCTACATAAAACCATCAGGTCTGAGGACCACGGGAGAGGAGGACTGAGTTCTAGGCTTGGTCCTGAAGGTCCTGGCCTAGGAGGACCAAGGCAGCTTTTGGGGACTCAGATGCCATCCCAGGGTAGGCAGGTGAACTCTTGCACCTCCCTTGATGCTGCTTTCCAGAACTATCCTTGGCCTGTGGGAGGCTCTGGGTGGCAGAAGAGACTCTAAGAGTTCCTCCTCCTCAAGACTCTGTCTGAAGGTATGTTCTTTCCGTGGCAAGTCCTAACAGGCCTATGGCTCTGGGTACCTATTTCAGGTAGATTCCTGGGAAGAGAGAACAGTTCCAGGCAGGGACCCCAGAATGCCTTCCCCTGGGTCTGCCACCAGGACATGCACCTGGCCTCTATCCCCGGAGCCTGCCTGGTCAGCTTCTCAGACACTTCCCTGAGTGGCTAAGCTCTTACTGGACCACACGTTGGCCCGTAGACTATGCTCTCCTGTGCTGTTACTGACCTCTGTGATTCCTGCAGGATTCGGTGTCCACGGCCTGTAGCCTGGGGCTGGGCAGATTGTCTGGTTTGCAAAGGCTTGTGTCATGGCTACTCAGGTGGTACTGTACCAAACCCAGCCTTCAAGGATAGGATTTCCACTCCAGAGAGGCCACCAAGGGCCACCAGACACATAGTAGACCAGGTTCCCTCAATGTTGTGTATTGATAGAAAAGTCAAACTTGGGTATGAACACACACACACACACACACACACACACACACACACACACACACACACACGTGTAGACTGAGCAAAGGCATAGGATCTGTGAGTCACAGATAACACTACCATCCTAGTACTGTCTGTAGCCTCTTTCTCAGCAGGAAGTGCTCCCGGACACCTCGCCTAAGTTCCTCTAGACCACCTCGTAGGTCCTTTAATACAGGGACAGGTGGGTAATCTTTCTTCACCCTTGAGGTCTTCCTCCGCCCTGTTTTTGGCCTCCTGAATCATACGGCGTGGAAGGAGGCGGGGGCCACGTGGATGGACTATTACCGTTGTTCTTTGCAGCAAGAGGACTTGCTTCTTTCTTGTTATCAAGCGCCAGGGATCTCTGTTCTGTGCCAGATGGCTTGTGGCAATACTGCTGCCTTCTCAGTTTGGGCAAGACCCACGTCTCTGCATCCAGAGTCGCGCCGGGCATTTGGCAGTCTTCGCCATCATCAACAAGACGCTCACACGGGCGGGCGGCGGCGCCGCCAGCTTGCTGATTAATAGCGATCGGCGAGTGTTGAGGAAACATGGTGCTGACGGATTGGGTTTGATTCGTCTGGAAGAGCAAACAAGAAGTGCCGAGAAGTGGGGAGGGAGAGTTCGGCAGAGGTGATTCTGGACGCCTCTGTTTTTTCCGCCCCATGGCTCCATCCAGAGATGCCCCTCTCCTTGGCCTCCGGAGGGCAGGGGCCTTGGAGGGAGGACTGTAGCCTTCCGATCCAGGCCTCTCTGAGAAGACTGGACTCTCAGACAGGAGACGAAGTGACAGATGTGTGCTTCCTGAGGCCACCACCCGGAGAGGACGCAGCGGGCTCCATGACCCTGCAGACCCCAGCTCTGATGCTCAGCGTCTCTGACGGTCAGCGCTGGGCTCAGCCTCGAGAAGATTCCTTGCCTGTGTGGCTCTGCTCCCGGTCCCCTGGCCCCGGGCACCAATCCCACTCCTGGCCAGCTCCTTCCTTTAGACAATCTTGCTGCAAGTTCTTTAGGAATAGATTCTCTTGGACCTCATTTCTCAGCAATTAGTCAATGTGCTGTCGTGTGTTTAATAGGCAGGGAAGCTGGGAGACAAAGCCATCCACAGCCAGGGGCTGGGAACCATTTTCAGCAGAGTGGCATGTTCTTGTCTGAGATGTCGTGAGACTCCTTTGGGCCATTCTCCTGGGAATGCTTAAAGCAGGGGTGGGGGAAGGGCGAGAGAACCTTTTCTTTTGACAGGCAGAGTGGTGGCAGCCTCGCAATGTCACGACTTCTGTTCTCCCAGAACTTGTACCTTCTGACTTTACTCCTGGAATCTGAGGCCTTAAGAAAAGAAGGAATTGGCCAAGGAAGTGACAAATGACAACGAGCTAAAGGGTGGGCACTGGGGAAACGTCCCATGAGCGGAAATAGGATCTCTGGGGGTCCTTGACCAATCCACTTCCAGCCAGGAAAGGCAGTAAGGATTTTTAATTGTGCGTATGCTTGAGAGATCTGCGAAACCTTTGCCATTATTTTGCTTCTGTTCTCTGCCCACCTTCAACTATTTCCTTGCACAAATGAAGAACAGGGTTGTCATAATCACACAGAACTGGAGCTGACGTTTTGTGAGACTTATTTTGTCAGATCAAGGATGTTTGCCCAGAAAGCCTTGATGGACCTTCAGAATGTCTCCCACCTCCATCTCCCCATCCACACCTCACCAGAATCTCCCTCGTGACCCGCCCTAACTGGAAGCAAGGGAGAAAGAGAACTCAGGGAAGTGGAGCTCAGCCTGGCAAGCTGACATGTTAGAAAGCCTCACAACACAGGTGCTCAGAGCTCCACAAAGCGTGAGGCAAAGCCTATGCATAGAACTAAAGAGAGAAGAAGACAAATCCCCAATCATAGTTAGCAATTTTAAAAAAACATTTCTCTCTTGGCAATTGATTAGACAAGTACACAGAAAAATCAGTAAGGAAGTAAAAATTTGACAGTACAATCAAACAACCTGAGCTGGTTGATATTTGTGTGACGTTGCATCCCCAAGCTACAGAAGACACATTCTTTTCAAGTGCATGTGAAAATATTCACTAAAGAAATCCTATGTTGGGTAACAAAAAGACTCAAGAATGTATAAAGATTAAAATAGTGTGCAGTATTTTTTTTTTGTTATAATGAATTAAGCTAGAAAACAAAAACAAATTATCCAGAAAAGCTCTAAATATTTGGAAAGTAAGCATCACTTGTCTAAATGACCCATGGGTCAAAAAAGTTGCACGAAGAATGAGAACATATTCTAAACTAAATGACAGTGAAAACAGAACATATTAACGTTTGTGGAATGCAATGAGAGCAATATTTAGAGGGAAGTTTATAGCTTTAAATGCTTATAGGAGAAAAAAGGTATAAAATCAATGATCAAAACTTCCACCTTATGAAGCTTGAGACGGAAGAGTAAGTTGAAGTAAAAAAAAAGAGTAAGTTAAAGTAAGTTGAAGAAAGGAAGTAATAAAGATGAAAGCAGAAGTCAATGAAACAGAACTCAAACAGTGGAGAAAACCGACAAAGCCAAAAGTTGATTTTTGAATAGGCTGATTAAGTTGGTAACACCTAGCTACACTGATTTAAAAAAAAAGAAAATACAAATTATAATATCGTAAATGAAGGCAAAGACATCATTACCAATCAGGCAGACACTCATGAGAGGATATTATGACAGTGCTATGCCAATAAATTTGACATCTTACATCAGGGACAAATTCCTTGAAAAAAAAAATGCCTTGTTGAAACTGACACAAAATGTGTAGATAACTAAAATAGCCTTTTACTAATTAAATAAATTGCATTCATATTTTAAAATATTCCCATTAAAAAACACCTCCAGGACGATATGATGTGACTGGTGAAATAGTACATACTTTTAAAGAAAAATGCCAATCTCACATGAACTTCTGCAGAAACTATTTGAGGAGAGAATGCTTTCTAACTTATGTGATGAGTCCAGCATAACTTTGATTACTGGAGACGGTAAGAGGAAATGACAGATTGGCATGCCTCACAAATGTAAACACAGACAATCTGCAAATAAATATTAGTAAATAAAACTCTGTAATATTTAAGAAGAGTGATGCATCATGACCAAGTGTTGGTTCAACATTCATAATCAAGCTATGGAGTTCAACACATTAACAGAATAAAGAAGAAAAGTCATATCATCTCAATAAATGAAGAAATGTGTGGCAAAATTAAATACCAATTCATGATAAAATCAAGTTAAAAATAGGAGGGAACTTCTTAGACCTGATAGAAGATATTTGTTGAAAGCCTTAGTTATACTTAATGGATATATTATTGGAACAAAAGAAGAATGTCTGTCCTTTGCAATTCTATTCAACGTTTTACTGGCCGTCCTAGCCACAGCAATACAGCAAGAAGAAAGAACAAAAAAGGAAAAGGCATACAGATGGGGAAGAAGGAGTAAATTGTCTTTATTCACAAGACAATATTTTTACATAGAAAAATACAGGAATCTGCAAAAACCAACCCTACTAGAATTAATATGTGCAATGAGCAAGGCTATAGACACAAGGTCAAATATTATCTCAACACATTGGAAAATGAAATTTTAAAAATAGAGCATACAGTACTGTAAAATAAGATAGTTAAGAATAAATTTAATGAAGGAAATGTGAGGCCTTTGTACTGAAATTTGTAAAACAATCCAGAGAGAAATTAAAGAAGAACTAAATAAATGGAGAGCTGAGTCATGTTCTTGGATTGTTCAACTCAGTATTGCTAAGATGTCAGTTCTTTCCAGATTGGTCTATCTATAGATTCAATGCAGCTTCATTCAACCCCGGGAAGCTATTTTGTGGGAATTAATAAGTTGATTATAAAATTTATATGGAAATGCAAAGCCAAAATAGTAAAACCAAAATAATCTTGTTAAAGAAGAACTATGTTGGAAGACTCACTACTTTATTTCAAACTTGACATCAAGCTGCAGTAATTAAGTAAGCACTGAATTCATGTATCCGTGGAACAGATCAGGCAGCCCATACACATATGGCCCATTGGTTTATGACAGAGGTGTCACGGTAATTCAGTAGGGGAAATAATAGTCTATTCAGCAAATCGTGCTTGAACCATTTATTTGTATGAAAAAAAATGAGCTCACATCTCTAACTTGCACCACACGCAAACAATAATTTGATGTGTAAAATCCTCAGCTGTAAAACTTCTGGAAGAAAACAGAATATGTTTGTGACCTTGCAGTAGACAAAGATTAGTCAGGGCATGAAAAAGCATGTCCTTATAAATGAAGAAAAACAAAAAAAAATTTGGTCTTTATAAAAATAAAAACGGCTTTCAAGGGAAAATATTGAGAAACTGAGGCAGTAGTGGGAATCTGGGGGGGGGCATACCTCATCAACAATGGTACCTGCATGAGGAACATTTGAATTGTACCTCACATCTTTAAAATAAAAAACATTATTTAAAAAAAGAAAATGAAAAGGCAAACCACAGAAGGTAGTTGCAATATACGAGGGGATACCCCCAAACCCCGGAATTTATTTATCAAAAAATTGAGTATTTATTCTTACATGTTTAAACTTCAGTTACTTTCAAAGTACTCTCGGTCTGATGTAATACACCTATTGGGATGATTCTTCCGCTGTTCAAAACTGTTTTTGAACTCATCAGTTTTGATGCCTTTTCGTGCTTCTGCCATTTTTTTCTTTCATCTCTTCCACATTACCAAAATGTTTCCCTTTGAGGACTTTTTCCATCTGGGGAAACGAAAGAAGTCGCTCAGGGTGAAATCAGGTAAACAGGGAGGGTGGGGCACAGGGGTCATGCTTTTTTTGGCCAGAAAATGCTGAACACTCACCACAGTTGGGCAGGTGTACTTGTAAATCACCCATCATGAAAGGGGCAAACACTCAGAAAGAATCTCCAAAAAAAGTTCACTGAAGCCAAATGCAGCCTCTCACAGCAACACTAGCTGGTACACTGATGCTGGTGAGTTCCTAGAACCCTGAATAAGCAGGGAAAGCCTGTATGGCCATGAGCCTGCCTTCCCAAAAATAATTCTGGGTTTTTCTGGGTCCCCCTTGCATATCCAGTATATCCGACAAAGAACTTGTTTCCAGAATGTATACGTTCTTACAATTAGAACAAGACAAACAGCTCAAGAAAAATATGGACCAAGGATAAAGACTGATGATATTAAGCTGCTGGGGTATGAAGCCATTTGAACTCCGTCACGTTGCTGGTGGGAGTATAAAATGGTGCAACTGTTTTGGAAAACTCTCTGGAAATTTCTTCTGAAGTTAAACACGCACCTACTTAGAAAAGGAAGACCCAGAACACTCACTTCTAGGTATTTACCCAAGGAAATGAAAACATGTCGCCTCAAAACCACGTATACAGGAATGTTTGCAGAAGCTTTATTCATGTGGCGGAAACCTGGAAACAATCCTAAGATCCACCAGCAAGTGAGTGGATAAATACGTTGTGGTATGTTCATGCCGTGGAATTCTATTCAACAACGACAAGAACAACAATAAAAAAGGAGCATACCTTGAGGACATCCAATAACATGAATGAATCTCAAAAGCTAGGTGTTGCACAAATGAAGCCAGACACAAAAGTGTACATACTGTATGGATCAATGTATATAAAGACCAGGTGGAAGGAAGCTTTGGTAATAGGAATCAGATTGCCGGGCATGAAGGACTTCCTGGGGTGATGGACATGTCCTATATCTTGGTTATAGTGTGGTTACGTTAGTGAAAATCCTTACAATAAACTGTACACCTGCAGCCTGAGCTTTCTGTTGCATACGAGTTATACTTCAATAAAGTCGATTTCTTAAAATAAAATCACCCCGATAGTGAGGAGTTCCTCAAAAGTGTTTGCCAATACCTTGAAAGGCCAAAGATCCCCATCTCATCACCATACACACATCAATCATGTTCTGCTCGGGCTGGAAACAACTGCAACAGTAATCTGGTTTCTCTTATGCTGGACACAGGAAACATTTTCTAACTTAAAAAAAAACCAAACAAAGCAAAATGTACACTTGCAAAAAGCTCCTTTAATAACCTGTTCAATGAAAATTCTCTCGCCATGATAGAAGATTCTGCTTCGGGTCTAATTTAATCCCTCATGCTGTGTTGCACTGATCTTTCCTTTTGTGCTTTGGCAAATCAGAGCTTTCCCAGGTCTGGACCTGAGCCTCTCTCTTGATGGTACATGGCTGTCTTTCTGGACAGAGTTTTAAGGCTGGTGTCCCTTGGAATAGTGCAGGTAGCCCCCAGCCCAGCTGCCCCGGGAGACTCCCTTGTGGCTCAGCCTGGTGACATAATTGAGATTCTTGACCAGTTTGTTGGGATGGTCCAGGCATGACTTCGGTGCACCCCCAGGTGCCTTGAGTGCACTAACACGGCCCTTCCATTCCTCTCACTGCAGGAAATGCTGAAGGACGAGGTGCGGACACTCACTTACCGGAACTCCATGTACCACAACAAGCACGTGTTCAAGGACAAAGTGGTGCTGGACGTGGGGAGCGGCACCGGGATCCTCTCCATGTTCGCTGCCAAGGCAGGGGCCAAGAAGGTGTTTGGGGTGAGCATGCCACTCCCTCCCTCACGCTGGCTCTGCAGAGCTGGCCTCTGCTCTCCACCTTCTCCCGCCCCTCCTAGAAGCCCAAGTCCCTGTCCATCTCTTTCCCTGGGGTCACACCTTTGAGGAGGAAGGAATGCAGGAAATCAAGTGTGACTCAGGAGGCAGGGCAGACTCCCTGTCACCTGGGCGTTGCTCCTGCATTCTTGCGCTGACAACTGCTGAAGTTCGCAGAATGCAAGGGTTTCCGGAGACCCTTGCAATGTCACATTACCGGATGGTGCTTAGACCCCCTGCCAACTTGAGAGAGAGTGCAGGTGGCGAAATGTGTGGGCTCTGGCTTGAGTCTCTGCTCTTGCACTCCCTAGGTGTGCGTCCTACCTTGGAGCTCAATCTACCCATCTATAAAATGGGCATAATAATGGTACCTTGCCCATGAGGTGATTGTGAGGATTAAGTGTGTTTGATACAAATGTAAAATGCTAAAAGCAGTGCCCAGCACACGGCCACTGCTCAGCGTCTTATTATAGTTGAGATGGGACCCTAAGAGATAGCAGGAAAATCTCTTTCCTGTTTTTTTTTTTAAGGGCAGGTCAGTAGATTTAAATTCTGCTTTGGCTGCTGCAGCCTTTGCAGACTGAAGTGAGGGCTGCTCCTTGGAAGCCTCCCGGGTGTCTGCTGGCTCTCCCAATGCAGCAGTGACAGCCTGACACACAGACCTGGGAGTGTCCAGAGCTGGAAAGAAACCGCAAAAGAAGAGTTCTGAGCACCGGCTGACATTTGAAACACGCAGAGGGGCCAGGCCTGGGACACGGATGTTCATCTTGGTCCAGATAAAAGGCACACCGTGTTTGTGAACCGCCCTCCTGCGTGCAGAGGCCCCTGGCGGGCCGAGTAGCAGTCAGGGGGCCCTGGTTCTTTGTCTTTTGGCAGAAGACCTGTGTCCCGCTCCTGCCTCCTGAGCCTTGCCCCAAGTCGCCCAGCAGGGGTGGCGTTCCTCCTCCATGCCCGACTCGGGCTGCACTTGGCCATGGCCGTCAAGGGTCTTCTGCAAGGCCAGGCTGTTCTCAAGCAGCCTCGGGTGCAGCCCTGACCGGGAAATGCTGTGCTGTTCTCAGCCCTGGCGCGGGCTGGGGGTGGGGCTCACCCAGGTCCCCCGGGGCCAGTCATGTCTCCATCCCTGGTATGACCGCCCGACCACCAGGACGGAGGCGCGGCCAGGGACACAAGCCTCAGTGAGGCTGCAGGGTTTGGGACCGGACTCGAGGCCCCTGGGGACCCCACAGGCTTTCTTTCCCGGCACGGAGCCCCCCTCTCAGCGGCGACCTCGGCCGGGACGGGGCTGAGCACGGTGTCCCCGGCGCCCAAGTCGTCTGGGGGGGCCCCAGCCAAGGAGCTGTCGGGAGGCTCCCACTCGGCGCCTTCCAGCTGCGGTGACTTGGCGCGATCCGTCTGCCGCCCGCCCTTCCTCTCACAGCTCTTTTATAAATGGCTCCACCGCTTTTAGCTGGGCTCCATCCGGATGGCTCATTTCACAGCCTCTCCGTTCCAGGGTCCCTTCCGCCCACGGCCGTCCTGGGGGGAGGGGCAGATGGGATGGCTGGAGAGAGGTGGTGGGGGAGACCATCGTCAGAGATGGAGAGCGGAGACAGAAGTGGAGAGAAAGAGACAGACACGAGGAGAGAAGTGGAGAGAAGAGACGGAAAGCCTCAGAGGAAAGCCAGAGAAATGGAAGAGTCCCCCGCTGCCAAAAAAGAAGGAAGACAGAATGGAAGGTATCAAAGAAAAGAACAGGAAAGAGAAGAGAGAAGAGGAAGACAAGGAACAGGGGAGGGCTGGGGGAAGAGAGAAGCCACGAGCTGGTGCGCCTGCCCCACCGGGCGCTCCTGGCGCTCAGTGCTCCGCGCGGTGAACGTGGACTCGGCCCACCCTCGCCTCAACTGCACGGAGCAGGGCTGCGGCTTCACGCCAGGGGACACCGAGGCACAGTCAGACAACGGTGGGGGCCGTGATGTGCGTCTGAGCTGCCGGCTCGAGATCCCATGTTCTTCACCACTGAACTTGGTGCCCCGCTGCAGACGGGCGAGAACAGGCCAAGAGGGGGCGAAGGGGACAGTGCCGTCATCACCTGTGAAGGCCAGGCACCTGGTGGCCCAGGAAAGGGCTGGTTCTCCGGGGACCTGTGTCCCAGCGAGGGCCTGCCTCCTGGCAGCGCCGACGGCGTGACCCCTTCCCGCCCTGTGGGCGCCTCGCCTCTCCTCAAGGCGTGATCAGAGGCCACCAGTCATCCCCTCGGTGTCCCTATGGGACTGCTGCTCAGGGAACAGTCCCTTCTCCAGGCTCCAGGAGGCGTCTCAGGTGGGCCTTGAGTGTGGAGGTGAGAGGAGCCCAGGGCCTTAGTGCAGGCCAGGCTCTGTGGGAGGCAGACCGAGGAGGGGAAGGCAGCCCTCAGCAGCTGTCCCTCCTTTTTCGGCACCCTCAAGCCCTCTCCCAGCAGCACGTCCTAGGCCTCTAACCCCCAGGCTGGAGCTTGAGCTTTGACCATTTCCATGAAGTCCTGATCTCAGCGAATGGTCCACTAGGAGATTTGGGGAGCCAGGAGAGACTTCCAGACGAAAAGGAATTTGTTCCTTTTCGTCTGGAAGTCTCTCCAGGCCCCAAGGTGGAGACTGTGGTAGTGGTGAGAATGAACTTGGGAGGTGGGGAGGGAGAGGAGGGAT